ACATTCTCGCCTGCATACTTCACTTGTGGTGAAAGTAGAACCTTGTTGCACTCTGGAGGAGCCAGTCTCTGTCTCTATGATACGTTTTTTTCCTTTGTCAGTAGACTTTGTTGCTACATCATTGTCCAGTGCTTGGCCTGCTATCACTCCTCTCCACATGCTATAAGATGAAAGTCTGAACAATGGATGATCTACCTTTTCAGATGTATAAATTAAGTTTATAGTAAATTGTAATAATACAAATATTATGAAAATAAAAGTGAGCACTGGCATCTTTTTTTAATTTTGCCATTTTAGGATGCCCCTGAGTCTAATTTACTCTAACGGATACTTAACATTATTGGTGAAAGTACATGACACCCTCGTCAACCGCAGACGAAACATATTACATTCACATCATCTGCCCTTTAAATCGCGAGGGCTGTAAATAGAGTACTCAACGGGTTTTTTTTCATAAAAATCACATTGTTTTTTTTTTTGTTTTTTTAATCGAGCAATTTATAGACATTTTGAATAAGACATGACATGAAACATGGCAGAGACATTATTATACAATAACATTGTTTGTTTTACAATTCCAATAAAAATTAATACATTTTTAATGTCACATAGATTTGGGCCTCAATGCCTTGTGTAATTACAAGCTATTACATTAGGGCTTCATTGCCACTAGGTAAAAATTGTATATGGAATATACTGTAGCTACAATTTTTTTTTTCTAGATATTCAAGATTTAATGACCTAAAAAAAGTCAATACTCAGCTGAAAACAATGCTAGCAGTAGGCGGAGACACCATGGGTTCAACCCCATTTTCTTTGATGGTTGCCTCTGCGGCGACGCGCCAGGATTTTATTCAGACCAGCATCAAGTTCCTGCGAGACCGCAATTTTGACGGACTTGACCTCGATTGGGAGTACCCGGCTTTTCGAGGCAGCCCACCAGAAGATAAGCACAGATTCACCCAACTAGTTCAAGTATTTTATTAGTGTTAAAAACGTTGAAATATAATTCAATAATAATTCAATATAATCAGATCTTAAACAGTTAAATAATTCAAATAATAATTCAATATAATCAGATCTTAAACAGCTAAATAATTCAATAATAATTCAATATAATCAGATCTTAAACAGTTAAATAATTCAAAAAATAATTCAAATAATAATTAGACTTAATGATAAAAGTCTGTAGAGTAACGTTAGTTCTCTGTCCAGGAACTTGCTTTGGCGTTTCGACAAGAGAGTCAGCTGTCTGGTAGATCACGTCTGCTGCTGTCGGCTGCTGTGTCGGTGGGAAAAGAAACAATTGACGCTGCCTATGAAATTAGCGACATCAGCATGTAGGTACAACTCAGCGCTAATGCCTGTAAATTACTTTACGGGGATGGGGTTATATTAGGCTCTTGCTAAGTCGATTTGCTGTACGCTTAATTAATTCGCCAAGAACATTACATCAATGAATTGTTTGGTTTCTATTTAACTTTTTCTTGCAGTCACTTGGATTTTATCAATCTGATGTCCTATGATCTCCATGGAAACTGGCATCCCTACACAGGACATAATAGCCCACTTTACCAACGTATATCAGAAATTGGGGAAAATGCTACTTTGAATGTGGTAAGACTTTAACTTGTTTTAAACTTGCGGTTCTCAGTAACACGACAGTCAATGTAAATGGAAAGGCTGGTCGCTGAAGATCATGTTAAGCGTTTAGATTGCCGTATACAATATGATTTTAAAAAATCAGTAGACCATCAATATACTAGTAATGGCCTGTCAATGACTTATAGATAAAAAAGCTTTAAAGTATTCAACATTAAAACTAGCCTTCAGTTTAAAATAGTATATGCATGTAAATATTGGTTATCCTATTTTATTTTTTTTAAAATAGTATTAGAAAGAACATATTTTAAAATTTTTTTTAAATTAAGACTAAGATCTTATTGAAAATGTGTTGTGATTACAAGGACTTTTACAATAAGATTATAGCAACAAAAGTCCCACATAAACAGAACAGGTCCAACATGAAGAGAAGTTCATTGGTGACTACACACAGACGTCTTGAGCTTTTTAGTCCAACAGTAGCGCGGATACAGGCTGACAGAATGAGATCGAAAGAGTTTTCAGGCCGTTCGGTTTTAGCCTTGATGTACTGAGGTCGCCCTATGTCAAGCTAATGTCCAATGAATTATTTGTAATATTATATTATTATTAGAAGAGCTAAAAGTCTTTTTTTGAAATGTGAGAATTGAAATTCGTTAATTAAATGGTTCATTTAGCAACGTTAAAAACTTTTACTAGCACGTTTTAAATTATTTATATATCCAAACCTATGTCAAACTAATGTCCAAACCTATGTCAAAGTAATGTCCAAACCTATGTCAAACTAATGTCCAAACCTATGTCAAACTAATGTCCAAACCTATGTCAAACTAATGTCCAAACCTATGTCAAACTAATGTCCAAACCTATGTCAAACTAATGTCCAAACCTATGTCAAGAAGTCAAGCATAGATTTATTTATTGACAAGCGTAAGTCCAAACAAAGATCGATGTACAAAAAAAAGAGTTCCTCAATAGAACAACGGCCAACAATAGAAGATTAATAAGTATGGTTTTATAGCAAAAGCCAATTTTAGGAATTTTAATACTTATTATCTAGAAGTAGCTAAAACTAAAGCTAGCTTTCGTCACGCATCGCTAACTCAAAACAACAAACGTGGCCAAACCTTTTTTAAATGTTATGTGTATCTTTAATATGTGTTC